GGGCGAGTTCTTGCCACGAGTCGATGCATCCCTCGGGCAATCGATTGAACCATTCGTAAGCCGGCCCCTCTAAGGTGGAGAGGAACCAGCGGCACAAATACTCATCCGATGCCCCCACCATCATCATGCTGTTTTGGTACTTGATGTACTGCTCCTGGGGTCAGTTTTTCCGTCGTAGGGCTTGATGAGTTGCCCTCGGTATTTTTCCGGGATCCGGGCCGCCAGTGCCCTTAAGGTAAATGGCGTCCGGTTCTGGAGTTGTATGGTGGGCTCCCCGGAGCCCTCGGTTATCTTCTTCTGCATTTCCTTCATCTTGGCCAACATGGCCTCATACTTTAGATCTATATGAGGGGCAGAAGTGGTGGCGTGTGCTTTGGTGGTCTCCATCTCGTCAAGCCGGCGCTGGAGGGACGCAATGATTTTGTCCCGGGGGTCCTTCGGGAGGGCCTCCGCCCCCTGCGAATGGACACGGGCCGAGTGGGCCTGGTTGATTTGGTGACGGACGTCGTCGGCATGGAGAGGTGCCTTGCCTTTGTCCTGAGGAGGACGTCTTTCATTAGCCCTGGAGACGGATCCGCCACTTTCCTGAGGCCTCTGGATCACCTTCCCCCCGAGGCGGTCTTGGACCCCACGACGGTTTTGCGCCCCTCCGAGCCTCTCGAGGGCGGAGGTCCGGGGCTGTTCCTTGTTCATGTTGTGGCGGTCCCGGGATTGGACTTCCTGGGAGGCCGTATCTTGGGCCACGACCCCCTCGATGTTCCCAATCCGGAGGACAGGGTTCCCGAGGGGGTGTGGATGAGGAGGAGGCATGATATTCTCCCCGACCTGAGGTTGGAGGGGAACCAAAGTGCCGAAGGCACCCGGGTTCTGGGTGAGCGTCTGGATGAAGGCGGAAAATGCCGACTGTACGCCGATAGTGATGACCGGAGGGCTAACTTGGTTCACGCTCCGGTCCTTCTTCTTGGCCTCGATGCCGAGGCGGGCATCGGGGGCATTCTGTTGAATCTGATGGCGTAGGTCGACAGCCATCTGGTCCAACCCGACGATGATGCCGCCCCCGGGAGCCTTTTTAGAGGCTTCAGGGACGTCGACTTCGCCGAGGGCCAGGTTCCTGTCCTCAACGTTTTTGGAGTTGGCACGAGTTGTTCTTACCATTTTCGCTAGGTGTTTTGTGTTTGGCGAGGGGGAGGGCCTCTTACTTGATTATTCGGCTCTCAACGAGAGCACCAAATGATGGATAGTCTACCCGAAGGTATGTATCCAAAGGGTTATTGCGGGGAATAACTAGAGAGAAGTCAGAGCATAAGTAAGAGAGAGAGAGTATATTGCTGAGAAAGTAGTGAGCGTATTTCACTTGGATTACAAGTGGGGAAAAGGGGCGCTATTTATAGTAGTAATAAATGCCATATAGGGACACGTGTCAAGCATCCAGTGGTCGAGGGGTCACATCAACTGGTTGGCGCTGGCAGTCGCATGTGGCCGCATTTAATGCGGCTGTTGGATGTGACGTCGTACTTGGTACGGTGATTCAGGCGCATGTGGAGAGGATATTATGTCGAGAAAGGTGCCCTCGGCTGCAGATGATTAGCCGAGGGCTCTGAGTGCCGGGGACCTCCTTAGTGCTGGGGGCTCCAGGTGCCGAGGGCTACTGATTTTCGCCGTTTTCTCCCAGTAACTTTGTTTGCTTGAGTTGGCCATCCTGTGAGAATTTGGAGCCTTCGGCAGGGGGCTGAAGGCACTCCCAGTGTGCCACGTGGGTTGCTTAGTACTTGAGGCGCTGTGATTTGGGCCTGCTGTGCTCCTTGGGCCTATTGGGCCTCCCTTAGAATAGTAGGAGTCTATGGGCCGAGGGTTCCTGGGCCATATACTCCATCAGATCGCTAACACTAGATCTATGGCCACGAAGCAAAACTTACTAAAGAAGCAAAGAACAAGTGAAGAACTGACCTTGGAAGCTGAGATTGATCGAACGAAATGGTTTCTCTCTCTAGGAAAATTTGGCCACAGCTTTGCTACAATGAAATCGCACAAGGTATATGAGGTCGGGCAAGGGGTATTTATAGCCCACCCATTTCGGGCTTGGGCCGAGAACTGGGACCCCGGTTGCAAAACACATCATTACGGACCGCCGCCTCAGCCAACCGGTGACGCCCACCCGAAGCCAGCCAACGGGAGCACGCCACGTGGACCCCACCTATAATGGTCATATTCCAACGGTTATATCCCAGCGGTCACGTCCCAACGGCTAGTTTTGAGACCTCATGATACCCTCAGCTGACACCCTCCAGACGAACAACAAGCAAGCCTCAGGACAACACATTCAAACCCCTTCACCAAGGGTTAGCCCCCAGCAGGAAGATCATGGATAACCCCTCAGGAGCCCTCAACCCTCGATACCTAGGGACTTGGGGGTACCCCCTCGGCAATCACCGCCCTCATATCAAAGACGACCCTCGGGTTTTCAGGGCTACTCTCCACATATTATGAATGGCCCTCGGCCTCAGCATTATCGTTCATCTCAGACCGAAGGGTTCGCCCTTTTACTTCATTATGGGGGCATTCGATGCACTCTTTTTCCCTCATTAGGATTTTTTCCCACAGGGTTTTTTCCTAATGAGGTTTTTAATGAGGCATCTCCCCAAAATGAAGCAAAAGGCGTCAGCCCTTGCCTCAAGGAGTGGGGGACTGGAGAACTCCTTCGGGAAACCACAAAAAGTTAAAAGTTTTCCCACAGCACCAACATAATCCTTCAGTCCCAAAATGTGGGGGACTGAAGGACTGCCCTCGGCAAATCACGCAGCACAAACCTCTCACTACTTTACGAACTACAATGAAGCAAACGCCAGCATCAGAGGACAAACACAAATTACTCCTTTTCCCTCAAGTACCTTTCGGCAAAAGGAGTGAAGGACTCCTGATGGAGTATATGGACCAGGGACCCCCGGCCCACAGACTCCTACAACTCTAACACAGGTCCAACATGCCCAAGAAGCACAAGAGGCCCAAAGGGCAACGACCCAAGTGTCAAGAAGCCCACGGTGCACATACGGGTTCCTTTGCCCCATGGCCGAGGGCTCCAAAATCTCACAGGACAATTGATTTTAGGCGTACAAACCTACTGGGAGAAGAGGGGCGGAAATCTGGGAGCCTTCGGCTCATTCACGCCTTCGGCACTTAGGTAGCCTTCGACTACATAGAGCCCCCAACCACAATGGAGCCTTCGGCTACAACACAAAAATCGAAGATTCCCTTTGAAGATAAGCAACAACCGCATTTAATGTGGCGTCACATCCACCCACCGCATTTAATGCGGTGCACATGCAAAAATAGCAACCCATTCTCCATTGTAAAGCATCACAAGTTTATATATTCGAATACACTTTCTCTCTCTTACTTATTGCTCTGACCTCTCTCTAGGTTATTCACCGTAATAACCCCTCAGATAAGCTACCCCCCGGGTACACTATCCATCAGTAAGTTTAAAATGATACGCAATACTCCATATATATTAGAGATGCATTTTGCATATCTATTTTTTTTTATCCTAAAGATAAAGAAGGAAGATGAATACAAAATATATATACCTGTCCATACTCCGTAAGCAAATCGGCGGTTGTGCCTAGCATAGTCTAGGGTTAGTTTGGTGGGCGGCGGTCGGACTCTTCACCGGTGCAGTGCGGCTCGTGTGTCTGAAGGCAAGCGATCTCAATTCCATCGACGGTTGTTAGCAGGGATCGATCGGCGATCGAAGGTTCGGTTGGAGATGGCGGTCGATTCATTCCTCTAGATCGGAGACGAAGTCACTAGTCTAGAACGAGATTTACGCGTCAGCCCTGTTTTCTCGCTTGGTCTCGGTGGCAGATCGAGGTTTCTGACAAAGGAAACATGCGATTTAGTTTTTCTGGCGAAGGGCATCACCGGAGGAAGACACAACAGTTTCTTGGGTGAGAATCGGGAGGCATGGGAGTTGTCAATGGGTTCAGAGGTGGCGGCGGATCGGTGGCGGCGAGGGTTGTGAGGCCTGATAGTCAGATGATTGGTTTGGCTATGCTGGTTCTGATGGTGATTGAGATGAAAGTTGTACCAGCTGTGTTTGATCGAGGTGGAACGTTGGCGGTAGGGGCCCTGGTTAAAGGAGGTGAATTTGGGTTTCGATCGACTGTTGAAGGATCAACATGGTTGTTCTGGCTGCCTCAGACGGTGGAGGAAGAAGATGAGATGTGGATGATTCGTCCCCCTCCTGAACCGCCGCCTTAAAGGAAGTACGCGACTAAGGCCCGAAAGATGGTGACAGAGCTGCTTTTTATTTATTTTTGCTATGTCCTATTTGCTGATCTTTATTTTGGATTTATTAGGGCAAATAATAAGAGTGGTAGGTTCTTATTTTGGTTTACTTTAGTTTATAGATTTGTGTTTAGAGGCAATCAGGCTGATTCAGCCGCTAATAGTCTCTAAGCTCTCACATTTTCAGCGATTAGTCTCACTCCTGTTGGGGTGGACTATTCTATGTCTGATGAAGAAGTGAGAGGGCCGGTGGGCTTCTGGTTATGTTTTTTTAGAGGGAGGTTAGTCTCGGGGATTACATTTATGTTTTGCAACTTCTCTTGGATGTTCTGCGAGTTTTTGATTTAATATAATATGTCAGTTTCCTTTCAAAACAAATACAAAATATATGAACAAAAAAAAAATATTCAATTTAATTGTTGGTATGATTATACAATTTGACTTAAAAATTAGAAATATCACATGAGTACGGGGAAGGTGGGTGTAGTCCAATGGATGACCATTCACCTTCAAGTCTCTCCTTTGTGGGAAGTCTTGGGTTCAATTCCCACCAAGGGAGATGACGGAGGTTTTGCTTCCAATGATTCTCCAAATGGTGGGAGCACCTAAACGATGATTCTCCAAATGGTGGGAGCACCTAAAAGGTGATGTAAGTGCCGATGGATTCGTCCTTTAATACCTGATTATCAAAATAATCACATGAGTACGGGGTAGGGAGTTAGGCGATGTGTCATCAACTTTGTTCTCAGAGCACCGACAGACCCACGTTTCCATACGGCCATTGATTTGGTGCCCAAGCTCTCACTCATACACTATACAACTACCCAGTACCCACTACTATGGTGAACGGAGTATTTTATTTCTTATTCTCTTCAAGTCATAACGGTTTGTTTCAGAAGCTTCAATTTCCTTTCTCTCTTCCTATTTCTGAATTACTGTGTATACTAATCGGTAATCACATTCACTTTGCTGCTTATTAACAATCTGGAATTTCTGAAAAATCATATCCCTCCTCTCATTCTAAGGTACGCACTTATATTTGTGATTGAGATATGGCTCATTGCTACTGGTTAATTGCGACGTAGAGTACAACCTGTTGTTCAGTCACTGATTGTTCTATTGCATTGCTCAGAAGTTTGATTCTGTTTATAGTAATTCGGAAATTGTTTAATTTTCGGTGAAACATTCCATACCATTTGTTTTTTTGAAATGCATCACATATTTCTGGGAACTCTTGAAATGTTTTGGCTTATTATTATATTTAGCTCCACATTATAAAAAGGGACTCAAACCGCCAGCAATGAGGTGGAATGACCTGGTCCTTTTATTACAGTTGACTTCAAAATGCTTAAAACATGAGTGGTTATAGTACATTCTGCCTCATTACTTTCATCATTGCTGCCGTTTATTTATTTATCTTCCATATGTGGCTCTAGGTCTATTGTAATATATGGTTATGGATCATCGGCTCAAAAGCTTGCCTAACTCCTCTATGAACAGTTTCGAGTTGGAGAATGAGATCATTTTCTCTACCTTTAAACCATCACTGAACATTCCAGACCGTTACAAGCATGCCCTTTCGGTGGCACAACATCCCAACCTGGGTACGCATGATCCTGCTTTGGATTCTGATTCCGTGCTGGACTACATTAGCCAGATGCTACTGGAAGAAGAGAGCATTGATGGGAACAATCAGAACATGTTCTGTGATCCCATTGCTCTTACAGCTGCTGAGAATGCCTTTTATGAAGCCTTGCATGAGAACCCTTCCCCTCCCATTATTCCCAGCATTCCTGGAAGCTCATGCGGGAATGGTTTTGATCCAGGAGAACGCGAATCATGTGTGACGAATGAGCCTACCCCCTATCCCGCCATCCAGTCATCATCCGATGTGTCAAACGGTTCTGTATATAGCTTTGATGATAGTGAGTCCATATCTGACTTCATGAGAGGTGTGGCAGAAGCTAGTAAATCCCTTCAAGCTGCCCGTAATCAGCGGGTCATCGGTGATTTGGAGAAATATGAGGAATCACTGCGAGATGTTGATGTCACCAAGGTAGAGAAGGACCATTCAGTGGATTCGTACTGTAGAGGAAAGAAGCATTATTACCATCCAGACGAAAGTGGGGTGGAACAAGAAAGGAGCAGCAAGCAGCGTGCACTTTTTAAGGAGGAAGTTGAGTTATCAGAGGATTTTGACAATGTTTTGCTGTGTGGTGAAGATGATGATGGTGATGATAATGCTTCTCTATCTCGAGTCGGACAAAAAGAACGAAGTGGTCTCCGCCATCTAAAGAAACGGGGAGCTAATTGTGAAACTGTGGATCTGGTGTCTCTTTTAATTAGCTGCGCACAATCTGTTGCAGCTGCTGATTATAGGGATGCAGAAGATAAATTAAAGAAGATCAGGCAGCACTCTTCACCTACAGGTGACCCAAATCAAAGAGTGGCTCATGTATTCGCTGATAGTCTGGAGGTGCGGTTGGCTGGAACTGGGACAGAAGTATATAAAACAATGTCTAATAATGATATCCTAGTCCCTGAGTTGCTAAAGTCCTACCTGTCACCTTTGCCATTTATGAGAATGGCAGTTTTCTTTGCGAATAAAATGATTTACGAAGTAGCGTCAAAAGGTGTCTCACTGCACATTATAGACTTTGGGATTCATTATGGTATCCAGTGGCCCACTCTTATCCGTGACCTTTCTCAAAGACCTGATGGCCCTCCTAAACTTCGAATAACAGGAATCGAGTTTCCCCAACCCGGTTTTCGTCCAGAGCAGATGGTAGAAGAAACAGGTTCCCGCTTGGCAAAATGTTGCCGGTGTTTCGGTGTGCCATTCGAGTACAATGCGATAACAAGGCAGAATTGGGAGACTATTACAATTGAGGATTTAAAGCTTTCGAGTGATGAGGTGGTTGCTGTTAACTGTTTTATTCGTTTAGAGTACATTTTGGATGAGACATTGGTTGTTACGAACAGTCCTAGGGATGCGGTTTTAAACTTAATCCGGCTAGTAAGTCCTCGTATATATGTCCAAGCAATGAGTAATGGACCTCACAGCTCTCCTTTCTTTGTCAATCGGTTTCGAGAAGCTCTCTTATTCTACTCTACTGTCTTTGATACGTGTGAGGCTATTTTGCCACTCCATGAGCATCATAGATTGATTTTAGAACAAGAAGTTCTAGGACGAGAAATAATGAACATCATTGCATGTGAGGGCATGGAAAGATTGTTGAGGCCTGAAACATGTAAGCAGTGGCAATCTCGCATTTTGAGGGCAGGCTTCAAACCCATGTCAGCAAACCCCCAACTCGTGAAAAAGTTAAAATGCAAGGTGAGGGCAGGATATCACAAAGACTTTCTGTTTGCGGAAGAGGGCAACTGGATATTGCAGGGGTGGAAAGGTCGAATTCTTGGCGGCAGCTCTTGCTGGGTTGCTGCGTGACATGCTAACAACGTCTGGTAGTAAGTACTTGTTGGGATATTGATCCAGGGGCCCAATACCCGGATCAGGAAGGTCCAAGATACCCGGCCCAAGCAACGGGCCCATCACATGATGATAGGATAATCATGGTAGAATTAACGCCGAACGAGAATCGGCCCAAGTAAGGGTTGGCCCAGTAAGGAGACATACCGAACGGAGTTCGGACTATATATCATACTTGGGCCAATTTGACAGCATCTTCAGCATAGCCCAACATCCCGTTCGGGCAACGGCCAAACCGCAAGTGGCCAGGTGCAATTAATGCCAGACTGTGACATCAGCAAGTGGAAGCATGGATGACCAAGTCGGTGGAACAACGGCCAATCAGCATAGGGCAGCCCATGCTCTCCATTAGTATAAATAGAAGGTTTCAAGTCATTGTAAGGGTTAACATTTCAATACTCAGGCTCTAGAATAGCATCATTGCTCTTATTTCTTGTATTAAAGCATAGTTTCCGATCTACCGATCGGGAAATTCCTTGTAATCAGACTGGTTAATTAATACAAGTGAGCTTTCGAGTGTTAGTTAGTTCAGGTCTTATATTTTTTACACGCTTTGATTCTGTGACATTCCTGATATATCCAAAGTTCGTGTTGGGCTTTCGGATCTACGGTATTTACCCTCAACATTGGCGCCGTCTGTGGGAAACTTGCAAAAAGTTTCAAATTCAAATCATCCAAAAACCTCTATTTTCAAAAATGGTCAGAATCAGTTCCTATCATACAAGCGACGGTTCACGCCGTCACGGGAGGAGCCACACCCCGGGGAGTCAAAACCCTCAGGGACAATCCAGTCGAGGATCGTATCCTCGTTTTGATGGGGATTTTGTGATTCCCGAATCTCTGAGAAGAAATCCTCAGGCCATGCGTGACATGGCCCAGGTCATGCAGCATATGGGGAACGAAGAGGAAGGAGGTTCCAGCTTTACAGGGGAGACTCCACGCACGGAAACAACCACAACGTCATCCCGTTCGCACGCCCATCGGGATAATCGACGTAGCGCCCCACCAACAGCGCACCACAGTCCCAGTGACTGAACCCCGATCGGGTCACAAGCTAGAGGACCAACTCCCGTTGGTCATCATTTCCAGTATGCCGAGCGGGAAAATACTAGGGTCCCTAAACGGCAATGGGACCGGGACTGTACGGATATGAGGGCTCCACCACCGCCCCCTCTGACGGCCCAGGAGGAAGAAATGGCCGAGATGAGGAGGCAGATGAATTAAATGCGAGACCAGATGAACAGGGCGCCTGTACAACCTGCCCCAGTTCAGTTGGGAATTACTTCCCCGTTTACTAGGGAACTCATGTACGCAGATATCCAAGGGGGTGCCAAGCCCCCGACCGGCCAAATCTATGACGGGGTGGGAGATCCCCACGTGCATTTGAGGAGTTACCAAGGGAGACTCATGCTGCTAGGCGCACCCGAGGCCGCCATTTGCCGGTTGTTTTTTAGCACGCTCAGGGGGCCTGCCTAGGAGTGGTTCGGGACACTGCAGCCCGGGTCAATCAACAGCTTTGCCGAGTTATCGGCGTTATTCTTGGCCCAGTTTGCTTCCAGTGCCAATCCCAAACGGCATTTCAGCTATTTGACCAGCGTGAAGCAAAACGCCAAAGAGACCCTCAATTAATTTCTGAAAAGATGGATGGATGAAACTTTAACGGTGGGAAACATGACGGATGATACCGTCATTACCCTATTCACGAATGCTCTCCGAACGGGGGAGTTGTACAAAGAGTTGAAGAAAAATCCGGGTACGGTGTACGCCGAGGTATTAGATAGGGATCGCAAGCATGCCGCCCTAGAAGAAGAGATAAGAAGCTAAATTATGAGAATAAAGGATGATCGGGTTAAAACCCTACTACACTTACCAATTCCGGCAGATAACATGCTTGAAGTAGTGACAAAACTCCTGAGGCTACGGGTTCCTCCCATCCGCAAGGACTCCGCTTGGGAGCGTAGAACGGCGTCCACCCTGGGCTGAGAATCCCGAACGGGATAGGCGTTCCACCTATCCGGAAATGGCAAAGAATCGCCTACCCGAACAAACAAGAAACGCTCCTCCCAGTCAGCCGGCGGAGTGATATTCTCTGTGAATAATTGACGATCAGAACGAGCTACCAGCTTCAGGTACCCAGTCGTCCAGTAAGGCTGATAGCAGTAATGGTGAAGGAACAGGTCGACGCATGGAGTGATCCTCAACTCATGGCATCGAATGATGAAGCCTGTCAGAATGCGGTAAGTGCTGGGCACGAACTGAGCGGGCAGTACAGCAACCCGGCGTAAGAACTCCACAATGAATGAATGGAGAGGGAATCGAAGCCCAGCAGTCAGAGCGTCGAGGTGCACTAGCATGTGCCCCGGTCGGTGCCTCATCGGGTGCCGAATGAATCCAGCCTAGTATTCCCTTGGTGGGGGCAATAACTGGCTAAGTTGTCGTTCGACATCTTCTGGAAGACGTTGTCTTTGTTTGCGTATGCGAGTGAAGTGTAGGGGAATGCGGGGTGGCCGCTCGGACATCATCACCTGACAGACATCCATCATCTTGTGGCTGTTCGGTGTGTTTGCCGGCCTGAGGATTGGCGGGTTTGGGTGTTTGGGAAGAAGAGCCTTCGGCCTTGTTACCAGCGGGTGTCTTGCTTGTGCGAATCAAAGGCATCTCTTCAGATTCTGAGCTAGAGGGGTAATACATAAAAACACTAGAGAAAATTCTGGGAATTCTAGAGAGAGAAGGCTTGAAAGTACGCAAGAGAATTCTGGGAATTCTAGAGAGAGAAAGCTCGAAAGAAAAGTGAGGAAACAGCAGGAGAAATTAGGGGAAGCACCTCTCTATAAATAGGGAAAGTGCCGCACAAATCCCTAATCCATGAGCAACATGTGGCATTGGGTGGTTACGATTAATCTGGGGCATTTATGATTCATTTTTGTGCACGAACCCCGAACGGGCTTACAGAGGAACAGTAAAAACTGGGAAATGGCTAAAATCTATTTAGATCATCGATTACCGAATGACGAACGGGCTTGCAGAGGATTAGCAAAGATCACAGGGACTTGCTGTTTAGAATAACCGAGAAAACGGCTAAGTCCTAAAAATGGACCTGAAGCCCGACCGGCTATCAACGTCGTAAAAGGTTATCTGAAATCAAACGGCTAAGTCCTAACAAATGACCTGAAGCCTGACCGGATATCAACGTCGTAAAAGGTTATCTGAAATCAAACGGCCAAGTCCTAAAAATTGTTCCGAAGCCCGGACGACTACCAACTTACGAAAAAGCCCAGGTGCGAAGAAAACCAAGAAAACAGCTGTCCTAAGAATTGATCTGAAGCTCGACCGGCTATCAACGTTGTAAAAGATTATCTGAAACCAGAATGTGTTAAGTCCTAAAAAGTTATCTGAAGCCCGAACGGCTGAGTTCCAGAGAGGGGGTTTTTTCCTTAACAAATTATCAGAACCTTCCAATGCCCGAACGGCGATCAACGGCATTAGGAATATTTAAGCAAGAAATAAAGTCAGAAAATTGGTTAAGTCCTACAAAACGGGCCGAACCCCGAATGGTGAGTAAATCATGCAAAAAAGGCGGAAAAGACAATACACAAAGCTTCATGCAAAAAAGGGATATATATTCATCGGTTCTACTGACCGGGAAGTACAAGCTACTTGAAGAAAAGAAAATTACAACGAATAATTAAAAAGTACATATAGATTATTGGCCAGGGGCCATTTCCTCTCCCTCTTCGTTCTCGTCCTCATCGTCATCAGACGGGGGTTCAGGCTCTTTCCCAGCAGCCCGATCAGCTTCCCGTTAATGAGCTCGCAGAAATTTTTCGAATTGAGCCTGTATAATGTCATCCTTGGGAAGATCAGAAGCCTGAACCGGCCTCCCCAGATTATTTTGAAGCTAAGCAACGAAGGGACGCAGCAGGACCTGGTCGATTTTGCCATAAAGATCTGTAACAATGGAGTCGTTCCATTTTTTGGCCTCGGGATCCTTGTCCAAGAGAGCCACCTCTGCCGATAGCCGACCAGCACCTTTGGGGAAACCCTTCAAGTACGCCCAAAGGCGAACGAGATTTGGGTCCTTGCGTGATCATCCTTGATGATGGAGAATTCATCAGAGGATTTAAATGTTTCCCGGACGGCGGACAGATCCACATTCACTTCATAGGGACCGTCCGGGATACTGGAGGGCATTTCCTCAAACTTGACCTGTGCGGCCTCAGCGGCAAGGACCTTTGCCTGGGAAGCTGCAAGTTGGACCCGAAGGGTACCGAGCTCAGCATCCAGCCTCTGTTTCTCCTCCGCAAAGGCCTTCTGTTCGGCCTCCAGAGAGGTGATGGCGGCGGCAGCATTTTGCTCAGCAGAAGATTGAGCAACAATCAGTTCTCGTTCCTTGGCCAGACGGGCTTCCCGCATTTGAAGGGTGTACAAACCCATCTACAGAGCACCGTTCGAGACTTAGTACTGATTACAGAGAATAAAATAAAAACAGAGCGCAAAAAATAATGTACCTTCAGAGCGGTCAAGGCCAGGCATTCTTCAGATTGCTCGACCGGCAACTGAGGAAGGGAAAAATTGTTGAACCAAGAGGAGGTCGGCCAGATTTGGCTCGCGGTAGAACCAACCCTTTCTAATACCTCGTGGACAGGATCAGATAAGGAGATCCGCTTGACCTGACCAGTAATATGGTCGGTGTGGGTCTCACCTGCATTCGAGGGTTCCCCCTGAATGGAGTCAAAGTGCTGGGAGAACTGATGTAGTTGGTCAGAGCCGAACCGATCGTCGACCAGCATAGCATCGAATTGGTCCTGATGGACCTGCTGTATTGGCTGTGGCTCTGGAAGCGGTTGAAAAGAGGCAGCATCCTGAGCAGGAACAATGGAGGGAGTAGGTTGGGGGTTCTTCCTGGATTTTTTCCGTTTACCGGCCCCACCGGCTGCAATAACTCTGCTATCATCCATAGGTAGATCTGGGTTTGGTGCTGAAAAAAAAAGACAAAGGGCAATGTTAGTATCGAGCGGCCTTAGCGTGTGAGAAACTAGAAAAAAGAACAAAAGAACGTTTCTCGCACGGGAAGGACCACCCAGACCATGGCACTTGGTTTCTCAAAACAAGTAAACCCAAGAGAACGGGCAGTACCTATACCGGCTGTAACAAGTCGTTCGGGAGTCAGATAACTCATGATGTCCATGTATTTATCCTTCTCCACAGCAAGCACGTCCTTGTAAATTTCTTCAGTAAGGACAGGATCAGGAGTCTTGCGGGGGAAGGCATTCCATTTGCGGGGAATTAGGCCGTCCAGGACAGACACGAAGAAAAACCGGTCTTTCCACCCTTTGATTGAAGTTGGGTTTCCCTTGAACAGGATGTGTCCCGTTCGGGCACTAGTGGCCAGATAGCCGTGGGTTTGTTGGAGGGCTACCTTGAAAAATTGGTGGAAGAGTTCTAGGGTTTGTCGGGCGCCAGCATCTTTACAACGGCAAATAAAACCCGCCATTGCCCGATAGGAGTTCGACATAATTTGGGCCGGTACAACTTCGTAGAAATTGAAGAATGAAATGTAAAAGGGGTGTAGCGGAAACCTAAGGCCGGCCCTAATTGAGTCAAAATGAACTATGGTCATTCCGGGCCTATGACGCATTGGGTGAAGCCCAGCTTGCAAACGGAAATCCACCGGGTCAGGGATAAGGGCCGGAATTTCGGCCCTATTATGGGAGGTCAGTTTTTGCCGCCTCTCCCTAATCAATTTTAGGTCAAGGGTATGGCGAGGAAAATCGTTGGGACGTCCGGCCGCCATGGAGGCTATTTCGTCCTCGGATTTGGTGTCGTCGGAATCTTCACTGGAGGAAGAAGAAGTGCTAGGAAGGTCCTCCGCCTCAGCCCTGGTATTCGTCGCCGTTTCAGTAGAACCACCGGCAAACGGGACTGTGATGACGTCCACAATAGCGGCATCACGGTCATCTCCATGGGAGGCCATCTCCGAATCAGAGGAATGTTGTTTGGGGCTCATCTCGGTCGAGCCAGAAATGAAGATAAGGAATCCGGATTTGAGAAGTTACCTGAGCGATGGAAGCTGGGAGAAGATTGCAAGGGAATCAACAAGGCGCAGAGAATTGCAGAATCGAAACCCGGAATTGAGAAGTTAAAGGCTAATTTATAGCCTTGAAACCGCCGTGTCAAGAACCAATCAGGGAGCGACACGTCACTAGGAGCATTTAAGCTAAAACACGTGTCTAGTGAAAAGACTAAACGACGGTTACCATGATGAATATGGGGAAATGAAGCGGCAGCCGTCAAATCACAGCATGGGGAACTGATTACTTCTGTACCCCGATCGCCATTCGGGGTATTACAACATTGATATTCATACTTCCTAATGCACTCACTATCGTTCGAGACATCGGAAGTGGGGGACTTGTGTTGGGATATTGATCCAGGGGTCCAATACCCGGATCAGGAAGGCCCAAGATACCCGGCCCAAGCAACGGGCCCATCACATGATGATAGGATAATCATGGTAGAATTAACGCCGAACGAGAATCGGCCCAAGTAAGGGTTGGCCCAGTAAGGAGACATACCGAACGGAGTTCGGACTATATATCATACTTGGGCCAATTTGACAGCATCTTCAGCATAGCCCAACATCCCGTTCGGGCAACGGCCAAACCGCAAGTGGCCAGGTGCAATTAATGCCAGACTGTGACATCAGCAAGTGGAAGCATGGATGACCAAGTCAGTGGAACAACGGCCAATCAGCATAGGGCAGCCCATGCTCTCCATTAGTATAAATAGAAGGTTTCAAGTCATTGTAAGGGTTATCATTTCAATACTCAGGCTCTAGAATAGTATCATTGCTCTTATTTCTTGTATTAAAGCATAGTTTCCGATCTACCGATCGGGAAATTCCTTGTAATCAGACTGGTTAATTAATACAAGTGAGCTTTCGAGTGTTAGTTAGTTCAGGTCTTATATTTTTTACACGCTTTGATTCTGTGTCATTCCTGATATATCCAAAGTTCGTGTTGGGCTTTCGGATCTACGGGATTTACCCTCAATAGTACTGTTAGTAACTATTGGTGCTTTGCGACATGACAGTCTCACAACCAGGACGTGGTAGTTTTTTTAGGGGTTGTGTTTACATATCACCTCTATTCCTTTAAAAATGTGACTAAACTTTGTTTAAATCATTCAAATATCTTCCTTCTCAACCCCTATTCAATTTATTGCCGTAGGCGACCAACTGCTGAATTGGTTTTTCCCATATTTTTTTGAAAAAACTCGCCGGGTAAAGAGATTTTTTTCTGTTACTAACAATAACTAGTGTTATACCCGTGCGATGCACGGGAAGACATATTTTGTATATTATGAAGTGATTTCTTGACCCGTTATGCTTATCATAAATACATAAAGTGTACTCCGTAAATAATAATAACTTTTTTTCTTTAAATGAAATCATTTATCTCGAGTTCTCGACTGGTACCTTGAGATGTGGGAACCGAATGATAAATTGGGATTATAAGATAAGATAGGGTTATAGTGAAACATTTTTAATGTGTGTCTATATTACAATTTAAAATTATTGTTCTCTCTTTTGATCGTATAATTATTGTTCTCTATTTAAGTTTAAATCATATACTCCGTACGATTTAATTAAATGGTGTTTGGGTCTATTTTTGAAAATTATCTCTACTTAAGGTAGCAAAAGCATATACTCCGTACGATTGCTCCAAATTACTCCTACTAACAATTTTTAAAAGTTGGAGGAGATCAGACCACCTTCTATGAAATTAAATCTGATTGTACTTTCTGTTTTTAAAATGAAGCAAAAGGAGAATCCATTTTAAACACCTTACACCTCCGATCCAAAATATCTTTTGATAAGCATAAAACTTACTATGTACTACGTATTTAATATGCTAAAAGCCATGTTTTATTTTATATTTTCCTGAAAAACCATATTTCAAAAACTATTGCAGTATTTTTTACTCCAAAAGGGAGAAAAACATTTAAATACTCTCCTTATTGTTCCCTCTCACCGCTAATATTATGCCACGGCATGCTTGGAAAGACCGAGTGAAATGCAATCTTTAATTATTCTTATTTGACGGCGTTTGATCGAATAGCTAGGGTATGAAATACTTTGCAAACTCATTTGAATTTGCCCAACATCCCATATTTTATATTCAAAAAGACAATTAACTTTAAGTGGATTGCTCACCTGCCACTCTAATTATGTGATTGTTGGCTCTTGGCTTTAAAAAGCTTAAAGGACGTTTTCAAGTGATGACCTATATTTAAATTAAACACTTAAATGTTAAAATTTGTAAACTATTATTTACTTTAATTTTTTATTACACAAAAATCACACACTATTCAGAATGATGCTAAGCACTTTTAATGCATGCAAGCTAGATAAGTTTTCAAATATAATTACAGTAGCTAACCTATTACTCCGTATTTTTTAGACAACCAATCAACTACTCCAATAAGTTTCCTATTTATAATCATCTTGGTAACAATGATTATGAATACACTTTGAACACTGATTATTAAACGATATATTGTAGAAATGAAAGCTAAGATATTTATTTTTAAATATAGATGTATAAGTTTAAAAATACTCAGCAATTCAATAGTGCGATTTATAGGGAATAGAAAAACACTACCTTCAAATCACAATGAACATTGATTCAAACATCACCGCTATTTTGAAGCAATTCTTTTGCAAGATATTGTCACAAATTTTCTAATCCTTTGGAAGCATGTTTTCCTTTATTTTGAAATGAAAATGAATGAACATTGATTCAAACATCACTGTTATTAATCGATGATAGGAATATAACAATAATGATAGTGGCAAGAGAATCCAATATGGGGCAGAATTCATTTTACTGATGTAAAACCCAACTCCTAAAGAGTTGGCAGATAACATAAAGCAGTATGCATGATTTCAACTTACTGATAAATAAGGATGTGAGCATTGATTTCGGTGTGATAGCGTCTCACTTCATGTTTATATAGAAGGTTTCGTATTGGAATCCACCAATCTGGATTTCGGGAAGTACTATAGACATATAGAATAACAAAAAATATTAAATGCAATGTCTTCGTTTAAGTATACTCAAGAGTGCATCGTAAAAACTAAAACATTGGAATTGCAAGAATTAAAAGCATTTATTGCATTGTTTATTTTCCAGCTGAATAAATCAGCACATTTAGCCTCCGAATACTTTTGGACCGTGTGCCCCATTTACTTTTAGGCATCATTTTTTCTTGAGCCAAGAAACAACTTCACAATTTAATCATACAAACCGTTTTCACACTAATTTTTACCCAGAATGTTACAGTATTCCCGCCCAAATCTTTCTTCCACTTTTCTGTTTTTATATATATATAGATTATATGTTCCAAGGTTTCACTGACACCCGTGACAGCGGGAATGAAACCGGTCGATCAGTGTCGTATCAAAGGTAGGGCAAGGGGCAACCCTCCTCAATCTATATACTCCGTATATACATATACAGGCTAGACAATAATCCCGTGCAAATGCACAGGAAAGAGCTGTGATTAAAGTTAGGTAGATTTGTATAATACTCCCTCCGTCCCGGTTGAATGTTTCCGGTTTGACCTACACACATATTAAGGAAATAAACTTACCAGGAGGTAAATTATACTGTTTTACTGTTTTGACACTGTTCCAACACTGTTTGACACTGTTTCGACACTGTTTGACACTGTTTGACCCTGTTTTGATGTAGGATAACTTTCCATTTAGGGAAATGGGAACTTTCCAACGCGACATCCAAAAAAGGAAAGCGAGATCATTCCAACGGGACGGAGGGAGTATGCAATACAAACATATCTTACATGTAAATTATATTTACAAATATCAAATATTACAACATAACTTGCATAGTTTTTTGAGAAATTTACTAGGATATGACTAAAACTCATTGAGTTTCCCTAAATATGACTAACTTAGTTTTTAGACATTTGTATGACCGAAAATCCAAAAAAAAAAGAAAATCTCGTTTGTAATTAAATGTTGAATGACGAAAATACCCTTATTTAAAATATGTGCATTTTGCACTAATTTCGTCCAATAAAAATTACTCCGCTTTATATTGCCGTTATTGCACAACATTACTGCACATCCAATTATCATCAGTGCACTTCCGCCAAGATTAATTCTCTTCTCATTCACTTTAGGAATTTATTTATTGTTTTTATTTTTTATTTTTTAGATTTAATAATTTTATTATTTTACGTCTAATTAAATATATTGCATTTCATGTGGCATTATTGCTATGTGTTACTGCACTGCTGGTCATAAACTCATAATCACTACACTTCTTGTCAATGCACTCATTTACTGTCCATATACAACTCTATCTATTGCCATGTCCACTGTCCATATTAAATACTATATATTGTAATGTTCATTGTCCGTATTCAACGTCCAAAATCCTTAATTTCAAAAAATACAAAAGGAGAAGAACAAAATGAGGTCTTAATTGTTAAATGCAATGCACTCTCCAGTTTGCCAAAAAAATGCACTGCACTCGGTAATTATTGCACACTCATCATGCTACTAGAAGTCAAAGTTTTACACTAGTTGGGAAATTTTTTTCACATGGTTTTTTTCCCAAATGCCGTTCACTTTTAAAAGAAGAGATACGTAGTAGTATTACACAACTTTATTGTTATAACTTATAGGTAAAATAATTTTAAATAATACCGACTATCACTTATAAACCATTAATAAAACATACTTTGAAAATCATTTTTAATAATACCAACTATTTGAGTATAAACAAAAAATTAAAAGGAGTCGTTTTTCGATAAGAAATCCAATCATTTAAGACATTAAAAAATAATAGAAAATTATCAAATAAATGATATTTGGAAATACACTCACTTATTTAATATTTTAGGGAAGGAGAACTACTAAATAAGTACTCGAACTTTCATAAAAAGTACAAATAAGTCATTTTATAGGAAGCTTTGTTCGGTCGTCTCCATTTGGGGCGGTTTCCGGTGGAATTTATTTATCAATTTTTTTGAGCATCTTCTTCATTAAGTCTAATTTACTCATACCAAATTTCAGATAACAATCCAATCGGGAAGACAGACAAATAAATTTTTGAAATAATTGTGCAGTTAGACAACACAGTATATTTCAGAAAATCAATTGACTGCCTTCTCGATTGAGTTTTTAGCTGAAATTTGGTATGGGTAAACTAGACTTAATGAAGAAAATGCTCAAAAAAATTCATCAAAAAATTCCACCGGAAACCGCCCAAATGGCGAGAGTCGTACAAAGCCTCCTGTAAAAGGGCTTATTTGCACTTTTTATGAAAGTTCGAGGGCTTATTTGATAGTTCTCCCATTTGATGAATTAAATAACTAAATTTTCATTGAAAATTTGCTTTATATCACTTTTGGTCTATATTTAAAGAGTTGGTATTATTAAAAATAATTTCCAAAGTATGTATTATTATTCTTAATTAATGGAAGCTAGTCTGTATTATTTAAAGTTATTTTCTCTGACTTGTATTCGAACCAAAGTTCTATTTTGAAAATAGAAAAAATTGCTTAGAATAATCGGTATTAGGGAGTAACATTTTATTTATATCCAAATTCCAAATATATTAATCTAGTGAAAGGAATACTGCATAAACTTTATATGTCAGATTGTATTATTTACAATTGAATTAGTCTAAATTTCTAAAACAAGGGTTCTTTGACGAACCCAAACCAGATATATACTTCTTGTGTGTGTGTATTTATATATATATATATATATATATATATATATATATATATATATATATATATATATATATATATATATATATATATATATATACTGAGTATTAGGGTATTAAAGAACACAGTATTATTTCAAGCTAGCAGCCATCTGAATCAAAAGTAGAAGATAACCCACC